AAAAAGAGGCAGCGATCCGAATCGGTATGCAACAAGTACCTACCGAGCGCGACGGCGGCGGCGGCGGCGGCGGTGAAAGCGCAGGGCTCGCTCGCCGGAGAAATGGCACGATCCGTCGGAAACTACACCTTTCGCACGCATAATTGAGTTTTCGAGTGATCGTTATTAATGACGAGTACGAGCCTGCGGCGCTCGCGGTTATATAAATGCGTCCGCGCGCACGCGTGTAAAATTTGTCCTAATTTGCCGGCTCTCCGTCGCTCGGCGTAAGACTCGTTTTCGAGGCTGCATGACAATGCTTCACAGACGCGCGCGCGCGCGCGCGCAATGGCGGGACAGGTAGGTCTTCTTGCACGCGCGTGAAACGTCGTTTTCCTCGGCTACGTGCTTTCCCCTCGTCCTCTCCGCGAGAGAGGAGCGAGGAGTCGTTGCGAATTTCGGTGGGATTCCGCCGGCGAGCGATCGAGCGCCAACAACGCGCGGTTCATCGCGGCGGTTTTTCAACGAGCGGTTTTCAAGCGCCTGTTCGGTCGGAGAGTCGATAATTTCTACGTGATCAATAGGAATGTAAATCATGATCTCTCTCTCGCTGCGCGAAAAAAAACATTGTAATCTTAAGCGTAATAGCCGGTTAGCGGCTGCTGTAACCTTTCGGCTCATTTAACGCGCGCGATGAGTGCGCGTCCCGCACGACGACGCTCGTCGCTAAATGAAAAATCGTCTGAAAGCTCCGGTGAAATCGGCGCACGGTTTTCGCGTCGTTCGGGATTCGAGCGAACGGTTTCTCTAAAAAAAAAAAAAGAAAGCAAAAGAGAGACGAAGCGACTAAAATCGTATTTTTTTTTTTCTTGTATTTCAATTGTTTCATATTTCGCGTTGTCTGTGCTTGAACAATTTTGTACTTTAACACAAAGCCGACGATTAACGCGACCTATTTCTATCGGAGCGCTCGAATGACGGGTTTTAATACGGGTTTTAAGACGGGATTTAAGACGGGTTTTAATAAACAAAATAATGACGGGCTTTAATACACGGGAAAATACACATTACACAAGAATAACAATGTTCATATTTTTTTCAGCCTCATTCGACGTTTCCATTGAACGTATCAAAACGCGTCGTTATATAAATTTGAGTAGTTTCCTCTGGGACTTTGATATAACTGTCTCGACTTGTAGAGTTCCATTTGCTTGTCAATCCATTTGCTCGTCTCAGAGAAATCGCTTAACGCGATCTCTCATCACGACTTTCTCACACGTCGAATCGCGCGTCAAGCGGCGTCATTATCCCGTCGATATTTCCCGCATCGTTCTGTCGTGTGTGTGTGTGTGTGTGGGTATACATGTATACGCACACATGTGCGCAATATGTTTATAGAAGCGCGTTGACGGGCTGATTATCAAGTTTAATCGCTCGCGCGCCAACGTGCCGATGATCTATATATATTTAAACAATAATCGACACGCCGCTCGGTGTTACGCGAGCGGCCGATAAGCGGCCGTAAAACTAAAAAGCCTTAATTGAGCTCTGGCAATTGGCCAATACGCCGTAATCTAACCGCGTACTCTGCAGGGTATATATCGTGGCCGATTGCATCAACCGCGACCTTTTACCGCCTCACCAGCAGAGCGCGAAGATAATTGTATAGACGAGATCCACGTTCGGAATCGGACCGGCCTCGATCCTCGGTTGTCCCGCTCGCGCAGGGTGTTGCGAGGAAAATCGTCTTGATGCCGGCGCTGGGTGACGGGAAAATCCGGCGAGATAGACAGGATTTCTATCTGAGCTGCCGTAATCTGCGACTTTTTTCTTCTTCATCCGGCGAGAGGAGAGGGGCGTTTGATCCTGAGCGAAACTCGACCGTTTACTCCTCCGCTATTACGAGCGATAATCATCCCCGTGTCTAGAAAAGTGTCTGGAAAAAGAAAAAATCTCCACTTCGGTACGACCACCCTCAAAAACGCGCATTCGAAACGACTCTTCCGCGAGAGCAGTTTCTGAAAGATCCGCAGGAACCGAGTCTCTGCTGAATATCGAGCTGGCGTGCAGCGAGCTCACATCTCCTTTTAAAATCCCAGAGTCCATATCCTGCGCGAGGAGAGACGAATTCGGCACAGTCGAATAATCTCCGTGAAAATTCACGGCGATCCTTACGGAGACGCTAACGACGCTCTAAGCATTACAAAAGCATGCATATTAATTGCTATTGCACAACCGAACGCAGCGAGTATTGCGCAACCCGAGCCGTTTGGGAAGGGACTAGGTCAGCGTGCAATGTAAAACGCGCCGGGCACAACGTCGCTCCTCCGAGGAAATAAATAATCCTGACCTTCTCTCCGCGGCACGACTGGATCTCCGGATTAGTCGTTCGACGGCGGACGCCGATTGTACAATCTCGATCCAGTTCCGCTCATTTCGCACACGGACTTCTTCCAGCGCGCGGAGCCGCAGGAAGGAAAAGAGAAGGAACAAAGAAATGGAAAAACAGCGATTCTACCGCTCCTGCACGCCTGCATTCACGTACTTTCGCACGATGCGTTACGGTCCATTACGTGAAATTGCCGTGCCGGTAGTGTCTATCATTACTTCACATTCGGAGCCTCGCGCGCATCGCTCGACGCGTCCCTCGTCGCGTGCGTCGATGCGCAAATGCATTCCCGGCTGTCAGAGCAGCGCCGTGCGTTGTCTATCGCCGAGGGACTCTTGAAAATAATCCCGACAGCTGTGATTATATGTAAATTAGTCTGTCCCGCGCGTGAGCGCGCGCGGCTCGTCGACTTCGAGCGGGCAAAAATACGCAGATAGATTTCCATAAACGGGACCAAGGCGGCGAAAAGGGAAAAAAGAGCGCGTAGGAGGAAGCACGTGACTTATATAGGACGTTCCGCGTAACAATGGCTTCGCTTCAGCCATTGTCGCCGTTGCTCGCGCGAACATGACATTCGCCCCGGTAATTACGTCACGAGCGAGCGGCCGGTTCGTTTACGTTTCGTTTGCGTTCGCGGAAAAAGCGAGCCCCTCGGCGCGGCGGACCCCTTCCTGCCTCTCGTAACTCTTCATCCGGATACCGATCTCCGGAGATTAATTTGAATATGTTGCGTCGAGAGTTGCGGCGAATCGCTCTCTCTCTCTCTCTCGCTCTCTCGCTCTCTCGCTCTCTCGCTCTCTGCCGAGAGGGCGGATGTCCTGTCGCGCCGCGCAGCGGAGGCAAGGCTTGCGTCACGGGATACTCGGACGCGAAACTTCGAGCTCGCGCTCGAACGGTTGGCCAACGCTTGGCTGGACACGGGCGACAATCCTGCGGGCGAAAATCCCTCGCGAGCCGCCGTTTGTCCGAAGAGGGCACGAGGTGAATGTCTTTCAACTGGCCGCTTGCTAATAATTAACAACGCACGTGTCAAGCTAAGCGTGAACGCTCGAGTATTCGGGATTTCAATTGTGTAATTTTCTAACCTTATAGAAAGATCCTTACTCATTTGTTATATATCTTCTCAGAAAGGATGGAGGTGTCGTTCAGCCAGTTTGATCTCGCAGTTCTCTCCTTTCCGCCGGTTTTTCCTTTCGAAGAGATTTCAGGATAATCGCACGGATCTAGCAAGTGGACATGTAATATCGCCTATCAGCTTCCATCGCTTTCCCGTGGCTTTCAATTTGATTGAAAACTCTTGTTGCAGTCGACAATGTATAAAATCGAGAATTCAGATTAGAAAATTTGAAAACTAAACATGCAGCCGTATTAGCTGATTTATTAAGGAGAACCGGTGCAACTATCGCAAATTGGGACACTGTCATTAATTGCGACATTTACCTCCGCTTACGAGCGAGTCTCTCTCTCTCTCTCTCGACGACGAGCGAAATAACGCGAAAGCCACTAGCGCAAATTTGAATGGCGGATCCTCTCACTACGCGATGTATGATCATTTTTCCTTCTTTCTCTCAGTTATCTCGATCTTCAGGATACTTTCCTGGATGCAGCGCGAGCCGTCACCGCTGCTGGCAACAGCCGTGAGGCGATCGGGAGATGAAGCGTGACGCGCAAAAGTGCCGTCCTTGTAGGGTAGTTTTGTAACGCTCTACGTGAGACGGAGGATGATGCCGCCGCATCCTGCTTGCGATGATCTGGCCGCGGTAAGCCCGTGTCTTTAGAAATATTAATCAGTCACACTCGCAATGGCCTCCGTAAGCCCGTATGCGATTCTTCCTTTTCTCCTTCTTCCTCCTCCTCTCCTCCTCCTCCTCCTCGCGCTGCGCCACGCTCTCACTTCTTTCGCTTCTCCGAGGCGTGCTTCTCTCAGCCGCGTTTCATGACGTATTACGGAAATCTGTTCGCGATCCTCTCGCAACGTTATCGTACTCCCGTCGATCGCGCTTGACCTCCGAATAGCACGTTGATGCTCAACGTGAGCTGCGCCTCTAGGAGTTGACACCGAAAGCTGATGGCTCCAAGAGGTCATGACTATGTTGCGATATATATACATATATAGACCATCTTTTATCATCACGTCAAAGGCTAAGATTGAGACGAAGATTGGGGCTGTCAGGCGCGCGCTGAGGGTCCTGGAAAAGCTGTAAACCCGTGTCATGCGCGCGTGAATCGCCGGATGTCGCACCTTGTGCTGCACGACAAGGATGAGAAAAGAAGAAGACCCTCCTCTCTCTCTTCTTTCGGCGTTTGCGCAACCGTGTCGGCGACCGTGGCCGTTTCCCAGGTGCGCCCGTCCTTCCCAGGATCCGCCGCGAAAACGTGGCTAATGGTGCTGCTGAGGCCGCGTTTGGCACTTATTAACACATTGTCACACACAGTGCAGTGTCACGCAGCCGCGGCGGGCTACACGTCTAAGGTGCTTCTTCTTACCTCACGTCCCACCGGGCCCACTTGAATTCCTCCGCCAGCGCGCGGTAAACGCCGACGTCTAACTGCACCATGAGGTTTTAGTCCTGCGGGGACTGGGGGCGGGCAAGACGCAGCAGGGGTCGTTTAATGAGCGAGAGGCCGGGGGTAAACAAAACCCTGTTTATTTATTCACATACTGTACAAAGGTATATTACATAAAGTCGACACAGCTACACGCTAGATCGCGTACTTAAATAATGACCTAGAGACCCCGTTTGGAAGCCTCGGGGCCGCAGCGGAGGCGCACCGGCGACCCTCGAGGACTGGCCAAACGAAAGAGAACGTTACCAACACCGTAATTTCAAGATACAAGTAGCTTATTGTGTAGCCGGTACGTGCAGGAGCCGCAGCGGGGGCGATTAAATAATTTGAAGGACGCGCCCCCCCGTCGGGGGGGACGGAGAGGGTCTTCTCGCAGCACTGACGAGGGCGGCGAAAATTATCCGGGGCGAATTGGAAGTTCGTGCGATGCGGCTACGCGAATACGAATCCGATGCCGGCGGGAAATTATTAACGCGAGCTTCGCAGGGGGACGGGAATATGGAGCTCTCGCGGGGGAGGCGCACGCGAGAAGAGGATGAGAGATTGTGAGCACGTAGAGCTCGCGAGCGCGAGAGGAGAGCCGCGAGCGCGATTCACCGCGTCCCGACAATCTCGCGCGGACAATTCAGCGTAGAGGAGTTGCGAATTGAGAGTGCGACCCAGCGAGGGCACTGTTAGAGGAGCGGGCGAGCCATGCGAAGTGCTTCGGCCCCTTTACGTCGGCATGCAGGACAATCGTTATTTTACATGAGTATAGTTATATGTTGCTCGGGCATGGTCGATTCCCGCGATCAACGCTCTATGTCTGTCTGACGCGCTACGCTGGTTGCACCAACGATTAAAGTTAACTCCCTCATTCCGCGCACGATCGTGCGTTCGGGCGTGCGTTTTTCCGAGGCAAGAAGAAGGAAAGGAGAAAAAAGTGCAGAATTATATGGATTCTTGTCGAAAATTGTCTTGCGATAAAATCCACTTCTTCCCGGGGTAGACATTTTTCGCTTCGCGTTGCCCGAGAATCACGCGAGAAGAGAATTCAAGAGATTCACTGTCATTGCTGTAAGAGTGAGTGAAACAGCTGGGTTAGGTTTCTCGTTGAACATTCAACGCGATGAGAGAGAGAGAGAGAGAGAGAGAGAGAGAGAGAGCTAAATTGTAGAATATTCGTACAGCAGCGTTCGCGCACAAGAGTGTAGTCGAACGAGAGGGATGAAGTATGGCAGGCATTTTTTGCAAGTAATATTTGCCGATGTCTGGAGGCGATCGATGTTTTATTCTTAGTAAAAAGAACGGCGAGAACGTTACATGAATAATCTTAATCGTCGGACCGCTAGCCGTTGCTGATCGTTGTTGCGACTTCATCGACGATCGAACGATCGACCGGGACTCCGCGTATCAACAGACCGACGGCTCGGTCGCGGCTACCAAGCAACCGGCTCGAAAATGACATTCCGAAAGCGGTCGTCGATTCGATCTACTTGATATCCGCGAGCGCAGGTGAAAATCGTTTAAGTCAATCTCGGCCCCGAATTAAATCGAACTTCACCGGCGCGCCGGCGAGCTATCGATTCGTGACGCAGGTGCCGTCGAATCTTCCAACTCCCACTCCTTAATTCGCGTTCGGTCTGTTCGGCGAGAGAGAGAGAGAGAGAGAGAGAGAGAGAGAGAGAGAGAGAGAGAGAGAGACACGTTACGTTAAGAAACAAAGAAAAGCAAGAGCCGTGCAATAATTCCAAAAGTTTAACGAAAGCGAACGAGAACGAGAGCAGCGCTTCCCGCTAAAATACCCCGGACGTTGTCGTTGCCGATCCTCGGGTCTCGACGCCATCGCCTACTCCGTGGATCGGATCCTGGTCGATTTATGGGCCGAGATCAAAACCGATTTAACGTCCGGCGTGAAACGCGAGGCGCCGAACCCGCGAGTTGAAGTTGAAGAGTTTAGCTAAGTAAGCGGAGCGGACGCGCGACGATCTACTCCGACGTATCGACAGATGAACGTCTTCTAGTACTCCAGCGAGATCTTCATCTCGCGAGTCTTCCGACGTACGCGTACTTTCGATCGGTCCTCGATTGTGCGGTCTCAGCCCCATTTCGCGGCTATCGAGTAGAGCGACCTGAGGAGCTCGAGAGCCCTGTTGTCGGACGCGGCGGTCTCGTCCTCCGACAGAGAATTGTTCGTGTCCGCTGAGACATCTTCGTCGAATCTCCTGGCGAAGCCGACGGTGCTCTCGGTGGTCGTCCGGAACCTCCGCCCAGCCCTGCTGCGGAACGTGGTGATCGATGGCTCGGACGAAGTGGGTCCCACGGACGTCGCTCGGGGTATCTTCGGCGTGCTACTTATTGAAGCAGCGGCTCGTGATTTACCTGTAAACGATGTTTACGAGAAAGATCAGTCGACAAAGGAGAGGCTCCCGGTATCGTTCTCGCTGGCACTGCAAAGAGCGCAGGGATGTTAGTCTGGAAACGGCAACGTTACACCGGGAAAGACAAACCATGTTGTCCGTGGAAGGAAGGAAGCACACGTGATCGTTAGTGATTAACGGACATAATGTAGTTGTAACGTGAAGTCTTTGGTAAATGAAACAAATAAGGGAGACAATGAGGGACAATGACGGTCATGATGAGATGAAAGGTGCACCGAGTAGTTTTATGTTTCGTCACGTCATGTCGTGCACTGTTCTATTGTGTGTTACTTTCAATTGCGATATCACAGATAAGCGAGTGTAAAAACGATAAAACGATAAAATGGTATCATCCTAAAAGATCATCCTAAAAAAGGATAGATCATGGTCTGAATATGCCGGAATATCCCAAAGGAACGTACCGATCGGCAGACTGAGTCTGCTGATGCCGGCGACGATCTCGCGCGACTCCTCGGAGCTGAACTCGTTGACCGGCATCCTCAGCAGAGCGTCCAGCAGCTGCTCCTTCTCCTGCTCCATCGTCTTGTTCCTGGGCCCGTTGCAGTGGTTGATCAGCAGCAGCACCAGCTGCCTCACCGTCTCGTTATTATCCGCCTGCTTCATCACGCGCATCAGCGTGTCGCTGCTCGTCTCGTTCAGCTTGCCGAACATCTCCTGCGCCTTCACCACCTCGTTCTCGGTGTTGTTCCACACGCCGGTGGTCAGCGTGAAGGGCAGCAAGGTGGACGGCAGGCTATCCCGGCCGACATTGGTCGACGTGACCGAGGACGTGATGGTGGTAGTTATACTGGAGCGCGTGCTGATGATCGGGCTCGGTGTCGCCGTGTTCTCCGCGGCGAAGGTCGTCGGCAGCAGAGTGAACGCCACGGGCGAGTCGTTGTCGTTTGGTGCCCATTGCCACGGACTCGAGGTGCTGGAGGTGGTGGTCGCTCGCGATACCGGCGTCCTGTCCGCGGCTTCGCTGGACAACGTCGACGGTCTGGAGGTGGACGCCGTCGAGGTGAGCTCGTTCACGCTGTTGTCCGTCGTGGACGACTGAGTGACGTCGTCGGACTCCAGGCCGTGATTGATGTGCCGAGGGTCCACGAACACCGTCGTCTCCCAGAGCTGAGTGACCATGGGCGAGGAAGTCCAGTGGTCGTTGCTCAGCGAGCTCGGCTGCTTGCTGGAGAACGCGTTGGCCGGTTTGCTGGAGGTGGCGCGCACCACGGTGGCGGTATACGGCGTGACGTCGGCGTCGCTGACAGTCGCTGTGACAGGGTCCAAGGTCCAGACGGTGTCCCGGGTGACCGGCGGCGGCGGCGGCGGCGGCGGCGGCGTCGTCGTCGACGGGATCGTCGCCGTGGTCGCCACGTTCTCCGGCGGCTTGCGAGAGCCTTCTATGCGATTGTAACTGTTCCTGAACTTCGCGTATGAGCTGCGAGCTGTCACAAGAGACTCCGGACTCCGGTCCTCCGGCGACGGCGACGGCGACGGCGACGGCGACGGCGACGGCGACGATGGCGGCGGCGGCGGCGGCGGCGGCGGCGGCGTCGTCGTCGTCGTCGACTCGTAATAACGTATCCTGAAGGGGTGAACAGTGCTGCTGGAGGCTTCGTAGGTAGGCTTGCTCCTCGGCAACGGCGTGGTCGAGCGAGCCTGACTCGGCACGATGCTGTTGGAGACCTCGAAGCTCTTGACGTTGCCGAAGCGTTGGTAATGGGGTGGCGTGAGGTTCTGCACGGGCTTGTCGCTGGCGGAACCTCTGCCCCAGCTGGTGCCCGCGGGACTCTGGAAGGACGCCAGTGTGGACGTCACATAGTTGTTGATCGGCGTGGCGTTGGCCGGCTTGACGTTCTTGCCGTAAGGCTGGAAGTTCCTGGCGGTGTTGTTGTGGAAGCCAGCGATCCTGCCGCGAGCGTTATCCTCGTCCTCCGACGACGGGAAATAATTGTCGTAGATCGGCGACAGGTCGGTCGAGTCCCTCGTGTCAGCAGCGTCGTAGCCGCGGATGTCGTTGACAGCGGTGGTGCCGAATGCGCGGTTCACCTCGTAGGCGAAGGTGTTGCCGCTGGTGACCTGCGTGGTTGTCTCGACGTACTCGCCGGACTCGCCGGGCGGCAACAGCGTCGTGCTCGGATAATAAACCGGCCTCCGTGTGGTCTGGCTCTGCGTCGAGTAGTAGTCGTCGTCGTACGGCGTGGTGTAGTACGTCGAGTACCTGTCGGTCGTGGTGGGCGGCTGCACGGTGGTGGGCCTGCGTCTCCTGGCGGAATCGCTGTCGTCCGAAAAGTCCAACACCTCGTCCTTCTCCTTCGTCACCGACGAGTACTCCTCCGCGGTGGTCGGGTAGAGCGTGGTCGAGTCGCTGTCGAACTGGCCGTCGGTGGTGGTCGATGGCGGTTCCGTCGGCCTGATGTCCGTCAACGCCTTCTTGAAGGTGTCCGGATCCTGCAGGTACGCCGAGAGAGCGTGAGTGAACACCTGAGCGAGCTCGCGGAACTTGGTGCCGTTGGTCTTCTTGGCGCCGTTCAGCGGGCCCTCGCTCTGCTCGAGCTCGAGGTCCTGCTCGTCGTCCAGCTCGCTAACGTCGTCGGCCTCGGCTGTCAGCTCGGCTGTCGCCGTGGCGTTGCCCTCGAGCGCGTTGTTCAAGTTGAACAGATCGGCGTACGAGGTGATGGTATGCTGCGTGAGAATGCTGGTGGGCAGCTCGACGGACGACGAGCTGCGCGCGGCGGAGAGACTCTCGCCGGCCTCGGGGTGGTCTTCGGCACTCGCGGCCGGCTCGGCGGTCTCGTTGGAGTCGAAGCTGTCGCTAGCCGTGGCGAAGTACAAGGCCAACGAGTGCAAGGTCGACGGGCCGGGCGCGAGGGGAATGCTCCGGCCGGAGCCAGCCGTCCTCTCAGTCACGTGCAGCCCGTTCGCCTTGTTCTCCAGGCCCTGAAGAGAGTGCAGCATGCTGAGCGCGTGCTCACGCTCGGCGTAGGGCCTGTCCTCCAAGCTGCTGACTGCTGGTGGTCGTCCACTATCGTTACCCACCTCAGGCAAGTACGTTGCTCGGTCCTTGGGTCTGCTCGTCGCAGACTGCAACGTCGAAGACTTCACCTTGGGTATCAGATTGCTCGTCGTGATGCGGTAGTCCGCGATGGTCGGGCTGTGATAGGTCGACGCGGTGATCGGCGGCCTCGAGGTCGTCGTCATCGTCGAGTACACGTAGTTCTTGGTGAAAGGCACGTATGGACCCAAAGTCGACAGCACCTTACCCTGCTTGTAGGTGAAACTAGTGTCGTACGGGCTCAAGGTCTTGCTGGTGGAGCCGCTCTGCTGGTAGACGTTGGTGCTGCGCCAGGGCTTCTCGGTCGAGCTGATCGAGTTCTGCCGGAAGCTCGGCGAAGAGCCGCGCGACGGGTCCCTCGTGGTGCCTTTGGCCTCGACGTCGTTCTCGCTTCGGTAATCGTCGGAACGGCTCGCGTCGTCGAAGTAAGGCGTCGACGAAGGATAGGCGTCCTGGCTGACGACCGACGAGGCGTTCACCGTGTTGTAGCGGTAGCTCTCGGTGTTGAGGTACGGCCGGGTGGTCGCGAACGACGCGGTGGTCTCGCGCTCGATGTCCCGCTCGGTCACTCTGGCGTTATCTGGCGCGTATTGATTCGGGTAATTCGCAGCTGGTGGCACTCGACCTATCAAAGCCGGCGTCTGCTGCTGCTGCTCGTTGTACGTCGTGGCGGAGGCCTCGGTGGTCTGATAGTCCTCGAAGGTGGACGCGGTCGCGGTCACCGGCTCGGCGCTGTACGTGGTATACGTGGTCTCCGGGAAGTCCTCTTGCCGGTAATAGGACGTGCTGGAGAACGGCGTCTCCGTGGTCGGCGTGTACTGCAGCGTGGTCTCGTACGGCGGTATCGTCGTCGTCCTGGGCTTATAGATGGGAGCGAAGGTAGGCCCGGGGTACGGCAAGGCGCCGGTCTTCGGAGCGAAGGATATCCTGTTGTTGTTCGCCTCCTCGCTTCGCTCTTCGTATCTCACGGTGGTCGTCTCCCGGTCGTCGACCGTGGAGCCGCGCTGCTCGTGGTACGACTGGTAGTAAAACTGCCGGTTATTCTCGGACTGCTTGCTGTTGAAGCGATTTCCCCGATTGGACACGAAAGCGGCGCTCTCGGCGAATTGCTGGAACTCCCTCGGCGGCGCGGTGGTGGTTCTGAAGGTAGTCGTCTCCATGTACGTCGGAGTCACCTTCTGCGACTGATTCTCTGAGTTTCTGAGACTGTTCTGAGAGCCGAAGAGGTTGTTTCGCGTCAGAGTGCGCGACTTGGAGCCGCGCTGGTACTCGGGCTTTTCATTGCGCGTCGCGCCTGGGCTCAGGCGGTAGTCTTGAGGGTTGCCGAAGGTGTTCTGATAGTTCTGCCGGGTGTCCTGGAGCTTGTTGCTGTGCTCGTAGCTGAACTTGCCGCTCTGCGAGTCCAGCAGCTGATTCCTCTGCCGGTTGCCCGCCTGGTAGTTTGAGCCGGACTCGTACTGCTGTCGTTGCTTCGTCGTCGTCCTCGTCATCGTCGTCGTCGTCGCCGTCGGCTGATTGTAGCTCTCGGCCGGCTGCGTCGTCTTGTCACGACCGCGCAACGCGTTTCCATTGTTCTCCTGGAAGTAACGGCCCGAGTCCCGCGACTGGTCGAAGACGTTGTTCGGCCCGAAGTGTTGCACTGACTTGGGCTCTTCCTGCCGCTCCGGGACCTGATTCTGCTTGACGGACTGACCGTACGGGTTCGTCCGGCCGTTCTGCCTGCCATCATAGTCAGCATTCTGCGTGTCGTAGTAATTGGCGTTGTCCTGCTCGACCGTGCGGTGGAACTCGGACTTCATCTTCCTCGCGTCCGCCCGCTTCCTCTCCTCCTCGGCCAGCTGCTCGGCGCTCTGCTCGTACAGCTCCGTGGACTTGCTGCAGTCGACCTTGAACCACCAGTCGCATATGAGCTGCGACTGCTGGAAGATGGTGCCGTTCGGGCACAGGAACGAGATCTTGCGTCCGTTGTCGCAGATGTGGAATACCTGGAAACACATTCAGCGTCGGTCACGTGGTCTCTCTCTCATCACCAGGCGTGAAGCGTCCGCAGGTGACAAAGGCTCGGAAAACACCGCCACCGAACGCGGGACGTGTGACGTGTGACGTCTTTCTGTCTCTCGTTCGTCCTAAATCTTGGACTTTAGTCGTGAGAGAAATCTCTAAAATTACAACGAGACAAAATTGCACGCTGAAGGGTGAAACGTTCGCTATCTTATGTCTAATCTTCCACGAGCAAATGTAACGTTTATTCCAATGTAAGGCACAGATCCAAATCTGAATCCGAATCGGTCGTGAGGAAAATTCGAGTGTTACGATAAATCGACATTTATGTCGCGGAGAGAGAGAGAGAGAGAGAGAGAGAGAGAGAGAGAGGACCAAAATATTCTCGTATCATCCTCCACGAGCAATCGACTCGAATTTATTCGACCGACGCGACGCCGCGAATCTAAATCTGATTCGCGGCGGAATCTCGGCGGAAGCTACAGGGTGAGACAAAATTGATGCGGAAGAGGAAAAAAAAATATTCACCGCCTGCGTCCGCGTCGTCCTCTCTCACCGACGAGCGACGATCGCTCAAACGACCCCCACGCGGACCCCGTGACCCGCAATTGCCGTTCCGGGGCGTTTCACGGCGGGTCACTTTTTACGATCAAATTGCTCGTCCAAGCGAGCTACATGATATCGATAGCACCTACTTGGCAATTTGTCTCTAAATCCGCGTAATATCCGCCCCTCAGGCCGCGACAGCTGAATGAAGTGGCCGGAATCGACGTGAGGGCTGGGTAATCCACCCCGGGCTGTCCCGTCACGCCTGAGCACGAAGAGGGGGGGGGGAGGAGTTATTAAATTTCATGGCGCTGGTCGTACCGCCGCGCCGCGTCGCGCGCTTCCGCGGTCATCCTTTCAAAGTATGAATTTTGCGAAAATATATAATCACTTAAGCTTTTACGAGCCATGCCAGCCGTGCGCCATCGATTTTTCCGGTACACACACACACACACGCACACACACGGGAATTCCGCGCGGAACGATAACTCGGAAACCGGCAATAAAGATCGCGCTCGCCGCGCCCTCCCCTTCTTTCCCTTTCTCTTTATCCCCGCGTCATAATGCCGTGGTGCGAAAGATGATAAACGAGCGGACGACGGATTGCGCGTCGATACGCTCTCCCGACGCGCGCCGAACGCGCGTTTCAGAGATTTAATTAACGCGGACGCGCGCGCGACAACAATGAGATTACGTCACGTGTCACGCGGGAGATTGCGGGAGATCGAGCGGGGACGGGCGAGGAGTCGTAGAAAGTCCTCTTGTCACTCGGCGGAGAGTCACGAAGTGCCGGCACAATCATCGTAAAACGAAAAATTGCGCCCCGTGGGAAAGCGGGGGACGCGCGCAGCGGGTCCGATCGCTCCGAGATATTCGCACGCACTCGATGACTTTCGCTTACACAGAGCCTTGCGTAACGAGCCCCGACGCCTCGCTAAGAGAGAGATTCCTGCGGTGGAAGCGACACACGCGCGGAGGCATCGAATGCTCTCATTTCGCCGTCCGCATGCCGTTCGCCAGAAACGACCGCTCGCGCCGCGACCCCCCCGCGGAGACACGGAATGCCCCGACGCATTCATCGAACGCGCTTCCGGTGTATTTGCGCTGGGTGTTTGCATGCAGCAGGCTGCACGGGGTGTTTGCATGCACGTGCGACACCTGTCTACGTGCGGAGAGGCCGAGCTCCACACGGACGCAAAATTTAAACATGCACACGCAGCTTGCACGCAGGAGCGTCTTCTCGGCGCCGTTCTCTCCGGACGGAAACGACTGGGAACAAGCGCCACCTAAAGCGCCCGCTCCATTCTAAATCGAGACCCCCTTGGAGTTAAGGAGAATTTTCCGGCGGTTTGGGGGAGAGGATTTTTTTTACATCTTTGGGGCTTCTCTCTAAGAAGGTTCTGCGAAATTTCCTCTTTACGGCGAAAAGTGTCTCCCAAGAGGGATCGATGAGAATTCAAAAATATTATTTTTAATTTCAATTAATTTCAAATTGATTTTAGTCTTGACAAGAATATTGTTTCAATTTTATTTCGTTATATATTTAACCCTTTGACGCCCGACTTTCTTTACAAGTGCTTTAGGAATAAAATTTGAGTTCTTTGATCTGAGACTATAAGTAGTGATAACCGAAAAAAGTATCGGAATTTTATATTGGTTCTTTTTATCGTTCGCTTTTTGTTTATTGGTAAATATCACTTGGATCCTAAAAGTATATTTACGAAATGAGCAAACTATATAGAGAAATATGAAGGGTAACCTATACGACACAACTCTGAAGATAGTCAGCTTGAGCATTTTTGAGCTGAAACTTTACTATATTTGTGAGTGAAGTTTATCATTCAGAGCGTCAAGCTTACTATTTCAGAGGAATATCTTATAAATCACCATTTAGATAGTCAAAATGAAGTTTAGAAACTTCATTTTTCGCCGCATAAAAAGCACTGTGGATCACCAGGTTTCACGAAAATAGCTTGATTTCTTGATTTTCGTGTCCACCATATCGGATCCGCCATTTTAAATTTCTGTATTTCTTTAATTTCACATTTTTCATCTGAGAAAGCTTCCAATGTATTCATTTATATTGCACTTCTAGATGTCAGTAACAATGCTAACTATGCCTACTTGGAATTTGACAAAACATGTTATCATTAAAACTGAGCTAAAAACCAGACTAAACCGAATCTACATACAATCTATGTAGCATTTTTTAGAAGAAGAATTCATCTTTACAGTGCGGGTGCAAAGAAAACGAGAATACCTCCTTTTTTGAGTAAGTTATGGATTCTTAAATGCGTTTCTGATCGTTACAGTTACCGAGCGTAAGCGTTAAAGGGTTAATTAAATAAATTTCAATCTTATATCAGTTTATTCAAGAATATTATTTTATTTTATTAGGGTATTAGATTTAAGGCACCGCTTGTTTTAACCAATTTCAAATCAGACCGGAGGAAATCCCTCCGGGAGAAGGCGCTCCTGAGCAACCTGCACGTCAAAGAAGGATAACACGTGCCATGCTGGAACAAGGAAATCGGACAAACGTTAACTCGCACACTGCGTGCAAAATGCGCGAACAGAGCGAGTATTTATCTCGCAGTTTCTCAGCCGCATTTACATCCCGCCCACTTTTCCGCTTTACGTTTTACGCGCGGAATTATCCCGGGGTAAATCGTCGGCGAATTACGAGGGATGGAAATTATCAGGCGTTCGGAAAAATTCAGCGCGGGAAGTAATCCCGCGCAAATACGGTTCCTCGCGAAGGGAGGAAGTTTTCATTCGGAAAGATTGGCCGCAGTCGAAAAAGTTAGATAGTTTATTCCGTGGACGGTAATAACAGCGGAACTGCCGGGGCGGGCTGCAAGGGCGGTTCTACACCGGCGTGGAATGAAGAGACCGCCCGGTTGGCTGCATGCATGGAGAGAAGGACGCTTTTAAGTAATAATACCCGCTCCTTTGAGCCACTCCTTGAGAAGGTCCTCGTTACCGAAGAAGACTGGCAATGAAAGAAAAAGCGAGTTGCTTTAGTCAGGGCGGGGAGGAGGAGGAGGAGGAGAAGAAGTAGAAGAAGAAGAAGAGAAGGGAAAAGAGAAGAGAAGAAAAGTTAGCAACGTAGTCTCGAGGTTAGTGGGACAGTCTGAGAGAGAACCTTGGTAAACTTGGTACTCGCCGTTCTTCTCCGGCGCCAGTCTTTTCACGATTTTCTTCAGAGCTTCGACGTCTTCCTCGGATGCCTCGAGACTCGACAGGTCCAATTCCGAGAGGAACTCTGGCAGTCTCGCGTGCCCGACATCTCGCGAAGCCTGCAACGTAATACGCTCTTAGAATGTAGAACTACTTCCAGAAAAGCGCTCTCGTAGCGGCGCGTTTCCGCGAGTTCTCCCGGAAAATACGCTATTTACAACTCGAATTCGCGCGGCTTAGCCGACCAAATTATTTCTCTCTCAATCTCTCTCTCTCTCTCTCTCTCTCTCTCCCTCTCTCCCTCTCCTCTTGTATTCGGTAATCTCACGCTCGTCGTTCGAGACAAACGAATGAACGCGAGTCCGCTGCTGGCGAGAAAGTGCGGCTGCTCTTCGCTCAAACTGCGGCTCACTCTCGTCAGCCTGTAACTTTCCACCGACGTCGATCTTCACGTCGTTCCCTGATCCGCGCGTTTCGTCAAAGTCTCAGCCAACACGACCGCGCGCGCGACAACTACCTCGGGATCGGTAATTTTTTAGCTCGACTGGATAACCCGTCATCGGCTCGTCGCACACCTCGCCGTATTTCCCCCCCAGCCGAGCTGATCGAGCTTCATTCCATTAATCGGGATTAACGGAGAATAGCGAGCGAACGAATGAATTGAATACTCCGGGCCGACTATCCGGCAAATGCAGAAAAAGAAAAAATAGCCACGCGTTATTTATCTGATGCGCTGAAAGAGCAGGGAGGACGGGAAGGCGACGGGCAGCGGCCGGTGAAAGAGTTTACGAGCGCGAGCCTCGGATGTACGTTTATTTTCGCACGCATTTACGCGCGCACAATACGCACGATACCGCGGGCCGAGGTGTTGATAATTGGGAGAAGCGATTTATGCGATCGCACGAGCTCGAACGAGCGCGGACGTTTTCAGCGCTTATCGATTTCGCTCTCGAAACGCGCGCCCGCGCGAGAACTCTAAGAGTTGTCGCTGATTATGTAGAAATAAAAAAATATCCTTTTTTATCTGCGACTATGAAAACTTCACACTTGTATTATACTGTAATAACTGACTCTTTTTAGCCCTTACACTGTACACACCTCCGAATAATTTAATACGACACACACAAGGGGACTCCAACGATTAAAACCACTACCACGCTTATTCTATAGTGTATTTTGATTAAAAAAGCATTGAGAATGTTTTTGAAACCTTTTAAAATAAGAGCCAACAGCTTTTTTTGAATAATTTTAATACGAACATAATGAAAAGAAATCCGTAAAAGAGAAAAACGCGAAAAATGACATTTTGTACAAAAGAAAATCATCGTAATTTTTAGTATTTTTAAATAATTCCTTCGAGGCCGCATTCTTCGAATACTATATTTTCAAGAAGAAAGTGGTTCGAATGCGTGCGCTTAAAAAAAAAGGTATTTATTTCGAAGAAGCAAGGAATTTTTCTAAAAAATCGAATTCCAAGAAATCTCAAATATTCATGATTATTATTGATATAAAAAAATATTTTTGATGTTTAACAGCTTGTTGGAGTCCACTGGACCCCAGGTGTACAGTAAAGGTTAACAATGTTCACTTCTCTTATTACGTATAACTTGTACTCTACGCGTTCGGAAGAAGCAGTCTTGCTTCTTCAGTAGCACTGGGGAAAAAGCTACTCATCCTGTGTATAAGTCCTATATATAATATATAATATAGGTGCTTACTATTTTTAGGAAAAGTCCATCAGTTATCTCATCAGTTGTCCGTCGGAGCTTATCGGTTGACTTTCCCAGGTACACATATCTTTACCTAAGCTTACGTGGACAAGGGTCAAAATACGACGCGACGAATTCCATCGCTAAGGCAAATACAAGAATATCCTGATCGGAGCGACCCTTGTTGAGTCACAAGTGGACTCACTCGGAACTTATCTATGGAAATGATTCCTATTTGACGTATCTATCTAAAGTGAGTAATATTCGCAAAACGATGCGAACGCGAACAAACGCGGGAGAAACGCGAGCGCGAGCTCTCGTCGCGGGGTTAACCCGCGCGTTCGCGCGACGAAATTCGATACCGCGTCCTCGCGGAGCGTCGAAAGTTTGATTAAATTCGCTACACGCAATTCGCGCGCCCGCCGCGCCGTTATGTACGAAATAGCGTCCGCGTAAATCACAGTTAACCCGGCGAACGCGCCCGCGCGAGTATCGACCATTGTGCCATATTTATTAGCCCGGACGTTAACGGCAACACTCGGACCCGCTCCCGATATGCATCGTAATTCCGTCCGGCCGATTTTTCACCGCGGCTCGGCCGCGCAGGATTCGCACGGAGCAGGACGAGCGGAGGCGGGAGAGCAGAGCAGGCGGCGAGAGGCTCCGTAATTAGATCGTCCGCGCGCGGCCGTAAATTAAAATTCGCGTTACATCTGTAACGAGGAAGGAACCCTCTCTCTCTCTCTCTCTCTCTCTCGCGCGCGCGCGTGCACGAGGAAGGTTCGGCGTCGCCGATGCCACCCTCTTCCACCACCCTCGGACTCCCCCCTCTCGCCCGTCGAATCGATCGCTCGCGAACGTAAATCGCCGCGATGACTACGTATACACACCCCGCGTGTGCCGCCACCGTGTGGAATTCCGCGAAAGTTAAATTGCGTTACTCGAAATAATACGCCGGGGACTTTAATTACTTAGCCGCTAATTAACTCGGCCGGCCGAAAGAGCCGCTTGATTTGAGACGCGCTCGTTCTCAGGATTAGCGACGCTTGAATATATTACGAGGGCGTCGCTCTTCGGGCGCCGTTCTTGCTTCCTTGGAATTCAGATGGCTTGCGATATATATTGTATATATATATTGTGTTCATTTTGAGCCATCGCTCAGCGCCTGACGATGAGTCGGTCGGCGCAGAATAATTCGCGAGCGCAAAAAGCCCGTCGCGCGCGCGCGTGCCAACTCTGCGGACCGGTGAGATTTCCATAATTTAATACGAAATTCCGGAACTTAATATTAAACTCGCCGACGAGATGATAGATTATATTGTAATTATCATCACGTAATTAATTAAACGACCTCTCCGCGAAATGAAGAGTGGCACTGAGAGAGAGAGAGAGAGAGAGAGTTGCGAAACATTTAATTAAACTTCTAATCGACGGGGCGTAATAATTACGCTTATGACTTTTCCCTCCTTGCGTGCTCGCGAACGGGACCGAATGTCCCCAAATACGCGCCATTTTCCTTTTCATCATGCGCACGCTCGCGTGCGGCTCGAGAGAGCGTAAAAGCAGCGCAAGGATGATCCCTCCGATCTCGGGAGCGATTGAAAATTTAGCGCAAGCTGCGCGCTTGCGTATCCGCTCGTCCGCGTATCGCGCGCGACATCTGCGATGATTGTAAAAGAGGAAAGGAATCGAAACCGAAATGTTACTCCGGATATCCCCGGCCGGAAGAAGCCGCGGGGCGCAGCTGGCTGCTTCAAGCGGGATTACACCGTCGGCGGTAGACACCGCGGACAAGTACAAAACGACAGACAGCCGTAACGAAAGGCGAAGTCAGAGCGTGCCGTTTTTCCTACGAGCCCCTCTGAGCAAATTGAAAATAGGGAGAGAGAGGCAGAAAGAGCGAAAGAAAAAAGAAAAACACACTCACCCTCGCGTCGCAGCGGCCAGGCGTGTAGGTGGCGGCGATACCTGCAAGTCGGAAGCGGGAATTAGAGTCGGGATTAAACAGTCATGTGCGCTCCACACGCGCGGAACTGGGTCGACCTGGGTCCAACCTGAGTATGGACACTGGCGGTCGCGACCGGCCGACGCGGTAGCGAGCGGCGTTCGTTGATGCGCGCGAAGAGAGAACGACGCGAGAGGAGACTCCGTCGGCGAGCGAACGCGCGGCGCGCACACGATCGATCACGCCCGTATAATCCGCGTCCTGGGGATTATGATAAAATTGCATCGGTACGCGGCGCACATCTCTTTCGCAGCGCGTTGTTTGCCGCGCTGTTTAACTCGGGCTAGCGTTGTTTAACGCGAGCGCGCGCGGGACGGACGGGGGATTACCGGGCGCCGCACAGTGGGGCCAGATGACATTCTTTGGTTGAAAATCCTCTGGAGACCTGAATTTCCAACCGATCATCGACACCAGTGGATGAGGTTGATCCTGAATAAATTCCGAAGAGATCTGTCTTGCCGAAATGAAAGAAAAGATTTTGTTTTCTCGAATCACTAGCCCCAAAAGAGGAAAAATTATCGTTAAACGCGAGAAACTTGTGAAATACTCATTATTCGACACTTATTTCTACCTAATAGCGTATTCAGCGGATCGAAACTGTGAAACCAATCAACAGACACCTCGAGATTTAGCGATCTTGAAGCAGAAACTCGTTAACCCAAAACTTGTATGCCCAAAATATTATACAAAAACATCAAATATAGACCCGTACAAGCACAAAACCGAGGGATTTTAATCCTTAATTGTTTCTTGATGTGGGCTGAAAGGATGAGCTTTGAAATTCTAAGTCTTCTCAAAGGTGACTATAAGTTCCGGGGTCTCGCATTTAGTATCCACAGGCTCGAACCCAAGACACTGTACTTTAAACGATAAACTTTTCAGACAAACCCTAAACCCCTGAGCCGATAACTTTTTTTCAAAATTTCGGCTAGACAGATCTCTTTGGAATTTATTCAGGATCAACCTCATCCATTGGTGTCGGTGATCGGTTGGAAATTCAGGTAGCTAGAGAATTTTCAACCAAAAAATGTCATCCGGCCCCGCTGTGCGCCGGGAACGATCACGGCGAGAAGCGGCGAGTCAAACGCTTCTCGGCTCATAAGCGATTTTCCGTACAGGGGATGGGAAAAAAGCAGCGCCCCGGAAAAGCGGGTAAACGATACGTTTATTTGCGAGAGCTCCGCTGTTGCAACAAAGCTACTTTCGCGGACGAGGGAAAAACAAGAGAGAGGGACGAATCGAAAACGCATTTCGATATGGATTTTGATATTTTTTATGTATGCGCAGGAGCGCTCGCGCACACGCCTGAATGGAGTCGCGCGTAATGTGAGGAAAATCGCGAGCGCTCTTCATCCGGCTGCAAACAACAGCGACGAAACCCGCGGGGAGCCGCCTGCTGTGTTGCAGAGGAACGTATAATCTTTGAGTTACAAGCAAAGTTTAGACGAATGAGACTTCAAAAGCCGGCTACACGAGCGCACAGAGCTGCTCCTCCCGCGAATTGAGCAATTAACAGCGGCTGAACTCCATTCCGAGAGAGAATGTGGAGCTGAATCACGGCCGCGGAGATAAGCGCGCGCGGCTGAAAATTGAAATAAATGCGAGGAAGTGCGAAGGAGGGAGGAAGAGGCACGATGATTATGACATTCAATTAAAATGTCGGCGTGTAAAAAGTCGTCAAAGGACCCCGGCGGTCTCGGGAGAAAGCGCGCGAGTTACATAAACCGCGAGCAAAAGCTCGAATGGGGTTCAGAGGTCGGCGTGCCGTCGCCACTTAGTTTACGTATTTGACATGCCGGCATTAGAAATTCGCACGGTATTTAATATTGTAGACGATAACCAGAGCCGGGTTTTCTCTCTCTCTCTCTCTCTCTCTCTCTCCCTCTCTCCCTCTAGATGTACTTCACCATCGTTTCCTCTCAACATAAATATTTCTCGTCGCTCTCGTAAAGTTGTTTCCTCCACTTTTCCGCATAGCTTCACTGCGTGTGCTACTCACTCACTCACACACACACATACATGCGCTCGTCACTATTTCCGGATTACGTAATATTTTGCAAACGAGACGCGAAGGCGCTCCAGAGTTAACAATATCAAAAGCAAACCCCTAGCAAGCAAACTACGAGATACGTACGCTAACTTTAAATGTTCGAATGCTGAGATGTGAAAATATGCGACTGGGGGGCGGGGGAGGGGAAGGGAGGGGGAACATAATTTTCGCGCGACACGGTCGATCCGGCGACGGCGCGGACGCTCGAACGCTCGATCGGCGAGGGGGAGTAATGACGCTGAATATAAAGCCGTGAGCAAAGTTATTGGAAAATACAGAGATGCGCGACAAAGTAATAAAGATGGATAAAAAGTGATACGGGGGGCGAAGTCGTAACTCGCTCGGCAAAATTCTCCGCGGGACCGTGGAGAACGTGCAAAGTTTTGCGAAGGTAAGCGACGAACTTTCGCGGCGATGAAAAATTTTCCGCGCATACTCGCACCCTAAGTCCCGGATATCGAATCGCACTCCCCGACGAAGCGCTCGCGAACTTTTCTACTTCGCCACGCTGAGAGGTTTCTCAAACGTTATTCAGTGTAGCTCTCGGTTAATCCGATATCTTTATTCCGCTATGAGAATTTCCGTACAGACCGCCCGACGAGCGCGGGAAAACAACGCGCCCCTCCCCCCCCTCCCCCTCCCGCTTCCTCCTGCCCGCAACGGCGCGACCGAGCCGGATTCTATAGAAAAGCTTAATCGAAAGTGCGCGATCGTGAATTATTGAGATTTAATATTCCTCTCCCTCTCTCTCTCTCTCTCTCTCTCTCTCTCTCTCTCTCTCTCTCTCTCTCTCTCTCTCTCTCTCTCTTTGCCACTCTTTCTTCCCACTCGAACTTATTCCCCAATTTTTCACATCTGTCCCGAAACAGAAAGTTCAGAAAGTTAATCTTGGGGAAATCTTTTCCCCTTCTGCTTCGATGTTTTCATGTTCTCCACGGATATTCTTTTCAGGCGCGTTAACGTTCTAACATTGGCGGTAAAATTGAGTACTGCTGGTGAATCTGATCGATTTGTAATTAGCCGCAGTTTTCCGGCGACTCTTCGGCGACGGAGTCGCTAATCATCCGCGTGCGAGTAAAAAACTGAACTTCTCCGCCTGCGAGAGGGCAGACGTTGGTTTCGTTCTGCTCACAGCCGCACACACGCGGATTTCCAGGCGAGAGCAGCGCGCGCGAGTTAATTCCGACCGCGCGAGATCGCGGGAGAGTCGAGCGTGTTAATAAATACTGGTTAATTGTCTCTCACGATTTCCCCTCTCACGTGGCTGTGGCCGACCTCATCTTCCTCCGAGTCTTTTGTACGCAAATTTCGCAAATGACGGATAAAATTCTCGTGTACCCGCGACATGTAGCGAAAGGGGGGAGAGAGAGTGAGAGAGAGAGAGAGAGAGAGAGAGAGAGAGAGAGTGTGTGAGAGAGAGAGAGAGAGAGAGAGAAGGAGAGAGATTCGAGGCAGCGACAAGAGCGGTGACAAATGCCGCGTGAATGGTCGGTGAGTCAACAACATCGATCTTCCTGTACCGCAGATTGCACCGTCCTTCTCGAGAGCGGAGAGGAGAGGAGAGGAGAGCGAGCGAGAGAGTAAACGACCGTAAATCCCGCGCGATCCGTCGCGCCTCCGATTCACCTTCGCCGCGGAAGCGAATCCTTGACTTTATCCGCACGACAGGATGATGCCACGGCGCTCCCACGCTGCCAGAGATATGTACGCGATTCGTCCGTAATTATCGGCCACCGCACCGCACGGATGAGCGGGATCGCCGGCGCGATAAGAGAGATAATAAATAAAAATATTAAGCAACGGCTCTCTCGAAGTCGTGGCCGCACAATGAAGATTAATCGTTTGTCCACCGGCGGCGGCGACGACGACGACGACGACGACGACGACGACGACGACGACGACGACGACGACGACGACGACGTGGTCGCGCAAATGCCATTTCGCCGATTGTATTCTCGTATTCTCACCGATCTTTAAATGCCACAGACCGGGGAAGATAAAGGAAGATAAAGGATCGCGGGGCAAAAGGAGAACAACGCGACGGCGACGGCGACGGCGATGGCCGACCACCGGCCGGTCGGTGCGTGCGGAATTTCTCTTCCGGCGAGATTCGCCGTGGCCGACGAGAATTCGTTGTTCATCGACGAATAGCAGATCGCTGACGAGAACGTTATCGCGAAGCATGCCCTTTCTTCCCCGGCGCGTGATGACGCTGTTTTAATCCGGCACGTTCCGGCGCGCGCGCGAATGGAAAGCGATGGAAAATAATGTGATAACTTGCCAAGCGCGGTTTTTATCTCGACTCCGTTGGAGATTACTTTCCGGGTGTATTTTTACACGGCACGCCCACGGTCATTCTCTACAAATATAACGCGCCCTCTCCCTCCCTCGCGCTCGTGTTTTCCTTTTCCCTTTATTTGCCCGGGGTAAACCCATCGCAAATAACTGTGACAATGTGGAGTTTGCGGGAATTTTCATTACTGTCTTGCCTTCGCGGAGACGCTTGCAATAAGTTGCGCACCGCCGCGCTGGCACGCCCGATGGTATTGACTTATCGAACATGTGTCCGCGTACCGCGTATACATTGATATGGAAAATGCGTTTAAACTGTACTTACATAAAAGCAGGAGGACCACGAGACGCAACATGTTTGGTGGAGATCGTCCGTCACGACTCTGTAAACAACATCAATATGCGTGATTTATTCGGGGAGACAGTGATAGCGTTAGCGCATAAATTCCGCGCGAAAGAACGCGAAATTGTCCTATCTCTTCTAAAATTGCAGCCGCTATTTATCGCGTTATCAGTCATACACACATTCGGAGGTACGTAAATTTCAGCGCAAGATGACGATTCGCGCGTAAAACGTTTCCATTTACGTCAATTATCCGAAAAGTTTTTGTCGTGAATTACAAATCCTCTCATCTTCGTGAAATCTTTGCTAATATTTCACCATTTTCTCCGTTAAAGATGAGGGATTTTAAAGACAACGTAGAGTGTCGCGTTAACCGGGAGAGACTCATCGGTAGCCGCAACGAGAGCGCGTAACTTGACAAATGTACTAATTATTAGTAAACAAAGATTTTGCACGAAGAAAGAACCCGAGCAAAAATTGTTAGGGCCATCCTCATGAAGCGCAAGGCCACGATAAGGCGGAAAATAGTCTTGAAAAAAGATGTCTCTTTATTACCACGGTCATTATTATCAGGCCCCGAGATGGATCTTTTAGGGATACCTTAAATTTTATGAAATAGGGCTTTGATAAGGAAAACTGATGAGGGCCTTAAAAGGATTTACTAGGGGTGCCTTAGATTTAATAAATAAGGCTTTGATAGGGAAATAGGCCTAGAAGGATTTTTTAAGGATGCTTTAGATATACAAAATCAAATTTTGTTATAAAAGATTAATAAGATCTGAAGCGTATAATAAAATTATCATAGTTTAGTATTGTACTAGGTACGCTCTATCTGGTTCTTTTAAAGAATTTTTAATTATACCGCAATTAAAAACAAATTTTATTGGTTTTATTAATTGCCATATTCATTAGTCTCTTCTAAGGATTTTTCTAGTATTGCCTTCGTTTTGAAATGCAGCAAACTTTAATAAAAACAGTAGTGGAATTTTTATGTGTAAAGAATGCTACGTATATTTTACTGTAAAGTATGCTATATTTTTTAAGTACAAAATCCTTATATACTAACAAAGTTATAAAGAAATAAAAAAATAACAATTTAAATTTCTTGGAATAAAAGGAACAGATAATTTTACTCAAGCAATAAAAATATTTCCTTGTAAGACCCTATTAATATTACCTTATAAGGTTCTGTTGATATTGCTTTATAAGGACCTTATGATATTGCCTTATAAGAACTCGTTAAACCATTTGTTACACATCTTGTAGGGCCTTGTCTTTCTATCCCTACTAGGGCCCGATTAATGTTAGAGAAAAATAACCAGGCCCTTATCAGAGCCCTATTAATTTTTCTACTCGGGAAATTATTGAGCCTTGAATTTTGTAATAGACGTCTGAAGATGATCCTTTTCCGTGTTTTCCGAGGGGTGAGGTCGGGTCCTAAACGTGATGTTTGAACGGAACGCTAAGAAAAGCAGCGCTGCGTCGACATACAGTCCAAGCAAAATATGTGTGCTCTCCAAGTCTAATTAAGGGATAATTGTTCGAGGAACAGTGGAGCGCGCGTTTCGGAATCCCGCGGGCAATATCGGCCCGCCGATCGATGAGGTAATAAGCGGAGATAAGAGAAGGAGGTGGGTAGAGCTGAAATTTCGAGAGGGAAACGCGCGCACGCTCTCGCGGCAAACTGGTTCGGACGACAGATCGAAGAGGCCCAATCTGGAGCGAGTGATCGTATAATTAGGCACGATAAATATGCAGCAGTGTTGGCCAACACAGGGCGGCTACTCTTTCGATCCGCTGTGGAACAACCGACGGGGACAGCAACGCCCGCGTTTCGTAACGAAACGTCCTATCTCAGCCGGCCTCGCCGTGATGACAATTTGTCTCTTTTCTTGGGCCACCGTCAACGAGCCACCGTCGACTCGACGTCTTCATCTATGAGCCCGAATCCTATCGGCCATTGTATCTCCGACTTTGTCTCGACGCCCACATTGGCGCTATAAATATTGCTCGAATAAAAATATTTGTTCCTTTCATTCCGAGAAATTTAGACTGCAATTTCTTTATTTCTTTGTGTAACCTTGTTAGTATACAACAAGAATTTTTTATTTTAAAAATATACTTTACAATAAAATACGATATAATAATTCTTTACACGTAAAAATCCTGCTACTGTTCTCACCAAAGTCTGCTGCATTTCGAAAACGAAGGCGATATACCAGAAAAATCCCTGGAAGAGACTAACGAATATGGCAACTAATAAAATTGGTTTTTAATTGCGTGATATATTCGCATCCTCGAATCGACCGAGCCGACGCCGTATAATAATCTCGTTCCCTTCTGATCCTTTCTGATGACTCTCTGAAACATCTGCGCCTTAATGATCGCGATGCAATCGCGGGAAGAATCGCGTAGGAAAAATTCGTGAACGAAGGAAGACGGCGCACGGTCGCTGCTTTCGAAACGTCGCATTACGCGTTATACGCGCGACGTTTCGAAACGCGGCCGTTTAGCGCGAAAGGTCTAACGATGATGCTTCCAGCGCTTAATGAATTGCGTCGCGCGTAATGCATCGAGTCGCGTCAAATATTCTGCCTCTCCGTGCGCATCGAGCGCCCGGATGAATGTGTATAATTGCAATTTGTGTCTATAATGTAGTCACGCCAAATCTCGTACTCGCGCGCGCGCGCGCGCGGCGCAGCTCGCCGATTAATACTCATTGAGCAGGTTGTTGAATCGTGAATTACGCGTTGCTGATTTCTACATCGAACGCTATTATTATGAACATAATCGCATCTCCCGCTCATGTGAACGATACGATCGTTGCCTAGGGCTAGGTCGACGGCTAGGCTTCACGGCTGCTCTGCGCGACTCGCGGACTCGTCGTCGGGTTCGTGTGTGCGCGCAACGGTTAAGTAACACCCGTTATTAAGGTACAATCGTGAGCGTGTTCATTACGAAAGATTAATCGGGCGAATTAATTGCGGAACGGAGGGAGAATCTCTGGCTCATCGTGCGCTTCTCGCTGAGGCGCGCATCGGGACTGCCAGGACCTTAATTGAGCATAGAATACCGAATAGAGCCGAGGAATACTCCGTTAAAATCTCGCGCAACGGTGCGTCAATTGAGACATCTTCCGGGTCGAATTATCAGCGAGTCTACGTGTATCGTTAGGCTGAAGGTCGCGTGACCTTCGACGCGTCGCCCGCTTCAGGAAGGATCGCGATTGAACGCCCGTAGGGACATAACGGTCCTTGACGCGAGTGAACGAAGACGACGAGTCGCACGTTTTCTTTTTTTCGATTTTATCAACTTTAAAGTGCTAGTTCTCTCTCCCTCTGTCTCCCCCCTCTGCGTTACCTCACCGCTCCGACCTTAATCTCGATGCTTTTTCGTGGGCATGTGACGAAAAAAGTTGGGCGATATATTGGAACACAATCGTGAACTTTACGACGTCACAATATTGCAACTATCGGCTTTCGACGTCAATTTTAGTTGTTGTAATTATGCCAGAGAAGTGTCGTTGCGCAGAAATAAATGTTAAAAATTAACAGCAGCACTTTAAACTTAAAGTTGTTAAAGCTGGTATAACGAGGATTTGCGCAGGATGAGCAGTGAGAACAGGTTTAAATTCAAAGGAAAAAAGAAAAAAGTGGCTGCATACTGTAAATAATTTGAATGAAATGTTGAAGAGAGTTACATTCGGCGCATTCCCATATTCCTCAATCATACAGGCCGAATGAACTGTTGTATCCTTGTAATTAATTGAGAAAACTCGTTCCAGATTCAGCATAGTTTGCGGCCACAGACGGATACAATGTCGGCGGTGCATTTCCTGCGAATGCAAATGCAACGCAAATGGAAAATACATCTCGATCCGTGTCGTCTCTGAAGCAACTTTTCTCGCGGACCACCCGCACTCTTTTATTTAACCATTCGTCATATTAACAATACGTGGCTCTAAATTCTTGAAAACTAATAGTTACGTACGATATACAGGGTGTCCGGCGTCTTTTGGAAATGAAAAATTGTGAAGATCAATCGGATCAAACTGAGAAGAAAAGTCAAAGTACCATTTTGCAAAAATCGCGCAAGTTATTAAGTTGTTAATGATTAAAAATGCCACGCTCTTTCAACCGAACTTGACAGCCGTCATATAATTGTAGATTAAGTCATTTTGAACAAAAAAGTCCCTTACCATTTTGCAAATAAATGAGCAAATTTTCAAGTTATCAATTAAAAGACCCTTTAGATGTGGTCATTTTCAATCATTAGTAACTTGATAATTTTTGCGATTTTTGCAAAATGGTACCTGACTTTTCTTCTCAGTTTGATCTGATTAACCTTCACAATTTTTCGTTTCCAAAGAATCCCGGATATTCTGCGTGTATATATATATATATGTATATATATATATATATATAAAATATGTATGTATTTGTGTATATGTCTGTATGTATGTACTAATAGTATTTATATAATATTACTAAACAACTAAGAAAAACATGCCGCGATGTTTTCAAACACGACTCGGCGCGTCAAAGGTCGCGTGAGCTTCCGAATAACAACAAACGTACGCAGACAAGCTAGAAATCATAACAGTCTTGCTCGCGGAGCCAAACCTATCGGAAGTCGGCGCGCGCGATCTTCCGACTTTTCCAATTCTGTTTGCGTTTCGCATGGGAGTATCTCAGGATCGCCGTGCCGAAGTCATCGGGAGCGGTGAGAGAGCACCTCGAAATCGAGAAGGTGACTATCAATCACTTTTCATTTCTACTGCCTTCAAAACAGGCAGCGCGCGGTTCTAAATCTAACCTAACCTAACCTAACCTCGTACTCTGTGCGTGTGCTATTGTGCATGTGCACACAAGAATACAATAGACGCTGTCGGAACACGCAGTTAACAATTCAATATTCGCGACCCAGCATGAAATATTAATGCCGCGGCATAAACTGCGTCAAACAATTAAAGAAATTGCGTGCAACTCGCGTGCCGAAGACGGCGCGTGATTTTCAAAACGGCAACAACAGCACGTCTCG